GTTATTCTATTCACAGCACTGGACAAAACCAAGAAAGAATGAGGAAATAGGTAACCATATGGAAGAGGGTGAACTTTATCCATTGTCTCATATTTGCTCTGTGAAATGAGTTGAGGTTTCACATGGACTATATACATGACTCCAGTGGACATTAAAAATAATATTAGGGGCTGGGGTTGTGGCTCAGGGGTAGAGAACTTTCCCAGCATGTGTGAGGCACTGGGTTTGATCCTCAGTACCATATAAATATAAATAAATAAAATAAAGGTCCATTGACAACTAAAAATTTTTTAAAAAATATATTAGTACTTTGCAGGCAGACTTTTTTTCAGAGCCAGGGATTAAATTCAGGGGTGCTTAACCACTGAGTCATATTCCCCAACCCTTTTTGTTTGTTTTCAGTTTTGACACAGGGTCTCACTAAGTTGCTTATACTGGCTTTGAACTTGTGATCCTCCTGTCTCAGCCTCCTTAGCTGTGGGGATTACAGGTGTGCACCACTATGCCCAGCGGACAGACTGATTGCTAAAGTGACTACACTACCCAGAGAATCCTGTTTATTAAAAAAAAAAAAAAATCGCCCTGGTCATTGTTTCAAGTTCTAGTGGCAATGGAGGGGATAGTAAGTTGATTAGGGATATTGGGATTGGAGAAGAGAGATCCTGTATAATCATGCAGACTAGGCAAGTTCTTCGTGGTCCAAAACTGCACATTTTTGGATATACTACATAATTTATCTGTTTTGGTTGTTAACTGTGAGTCTTTCCCACTACAATAGAAGCTTCAAGAAGGTAGCAACCTTTATTTTGTGTTCTCTTATATCTCCATGTCTGTCACCCAATTTTTGGAAATTTTCTGTATTGAATGAGGTAAAAAGAAACAGTGAGAGAATTGGAAGGCAAATTTTTTAGCTCAACAAGAACTGTTTTTAAATGATGTGTACTATGGACAGGCGGGGTGGTCTTCCCCAGGAAGTGACATCTTCCACAAAGCTCCATTGGAATTAAAACGACTTTTTGTGCTGGGCATTTTATAGGATCACTGTTTGGGTGTGTTTGGCCACTAATATCATTTCATCTCTGTGGTTCTAAACATGAGACTTCATCAAAGGTTTTTCATGTTGAGGTCCCTAGATAATCATGCCATAAAGACAGAAGGTAAATGACTTGACAACCAACTGAACTTGGGATATGGGAGTGGAAAGGATTCAGAGCCTCTCAGTCTGGAAATTTTGATGCCATTTTACAAAAAAAAAAAAATTGAATTGAATTGTAGTAGAATAACACATACAGCTGCCTTGTTTTAGAAAGGTATCTGATAATGGTGCTTAAAAGGTGCCATACGTGAATAGTCCCTTTAGCTATACAATCTCATATACTTGGTATAGTATGTAGATATAGCAGTTCCATTTCACAACTGAGGAAACTGGCTCAAAGTGATTTTATAGCTATTAAGGGCATAACTCTAACATGGATTTTTGTCCTCATTCAAAGCTAGATGCTCCTAATCCAGTGTTTTGCTTCAGTGAGCTGTGAGTTACTGAAATGAGACTCCTGCTTACTGGGGGACTTACGAACTGGCAACTCATGAGCAGTGACAGCCCACCATTTGTCTCTTGTCTCCACTATGGACAGTCCCTCCCCAATTCCAATTTCAGTCCTTACTACCTGCTACCAGAAAGCCTCACAGTAAAACCACAATTTAATGTTTATACTAGCCAAACATTCTTGGACAGGCTGGTAAAATCCATTCCCCAATAGAAAACTGTCAAAGCAATGGGCTCTTTTTTACCCCCTTCAGTGATGATGCCTTGTGAAAGCAGCTAATGGGTAGTTGGGTGCAGTGGTTTGGGATCCAGGAGAAAATGAACTCAATGGGGAACCATGAATAAGCTGTTAAAGCCAGGTGGAAATGAGAAGTGGAGGAAATTTGGAGAAGTAGATGAAGAAGGCATTGGGGAGCACTGAGAGGACATGGAGTGAATGTGGTTGAGTCATGGTTTCAGGAAACCAAGCATTTGTCCAGCTGAAGCATTACAACACCCCTCTTTGTACACTGCATTTATTCCAGTGGGCAGGGATGAAGAAAGAGACCATAGGAATACTGGTGGGGGGGGGGAGAAGAAGTACACTAGGAGTATTCTGGAAAAGTAATTTTCTGTCTCAAATATGTGACAGCAATCTACTGAAGTGTTCGGACATTTTGATTTGCTATGTAGGAAAGGTTGAGAGTAAATGCCCAGCACCTACAGAAGGTGGGGACTGGATCAATTTTTGACTTAAGAGGACAATGCCTTGCATTAGAAAGTTGATGGAATGTGGATTCAAGAGTTTCTGGCCTTTTTTCTTCTTTCACTTGCAATTTTTAGAACCATAATTCAGCTCTACTGGATTAGGGCATGTTCCATCAAACTAAAAATCAAAAGCTTTCCTATGGGAGAAGTCTCAATGTTATAGCTGAAAAAGGTGGCAGTCACATTACTGCCACCAAAAATAATTTATTAACTGTGTCTGTACAAAGAACTCTGTAGGCACAAAACCCCAGGGGCTTCCTGATTCAATGCATCCTTTGCTCTCTGCCATCTCCTCAGAGTGCCATTCCCCTCTTCACCTGTGAATAAAATGGATACCGCGTGAAAACTTCATTTTGCTGAGAGTATGACAGGACAAGAGGACGCTGGCTCCATCATCTGCTCCATACAGTGCTAGGGAGGTGTACTAGGGCACTGCCATTCTCAACCTCTCCTTTTTGGCACTTGTGAATAAAAACATCTCTTCGGTTTCTACTTTCGACTAGGAAATACCGGGAGAGTTGGCAAGCGAGGTTTTGCACCATCAGCATATACGATGCTGATAATGCTCTTTACCCTTTTTTCTTTTCTATGCCACCCTGACCGCCAGACAGGTACCACGATTGCACCTGAGATACAAGCACTCAGGTGCCTGCCTACACAAGGGAAAGAACCGGCATCGGAATTTCAGATAACAAACCCAAATCGTTTTACATTTTTCTCTCAAATGTGCTTGTCTTGTGACGTGCGTACCTGTGCGCACATGTACATTTAAAGAAAAAAAAATCCTTTTTTTTTTTTTTTAAGGCAAGTTATAAATGGCTTGGAGAGATCTGACAGGTCTGATCGCACAAAGGTCGTCTGCTTCACCAGCATTCCTCTCAGGAACTCAGAGGCAAAGGTGGCTCTGCATCCCGCACCCATGGCACGCAGTTAGGCAGCGGATGGCACAAGCACCCTCCCACCCGTACACGCCCCCAATCGTTCGCCCCGCAGCGTCAGTCTCTGACCCCCACTGGATCCGCGCAGGAGACCTTCTCACAATCGGTCGGGAACTGCTTTTGCCATACATCGCCAACCGGGTTTTGCTTGGATCATTTATTTATCTTGTGTGCATTAAGAAACCACCATTAGGTGTTGGTGGGAGGTGCTACTCTGCCCGAATCCCAGCCCGTCCGCCGCGATTCCGCACACACACCCGCACCCGCCTGGCTATCAGAGCCTGCCTGGAACCGCCTTTGGCCCGGGATCTGCCTCGCTCGGGACCCCCTGACGCGTTCTCTCGCTTTTTGCTCCCCAAGCTCGACCCGGCTGCGGCGCCTTAGCGTGATTTTGAATTCTCTGCCTGCTTGTTGGGTTGCTCCCGCGGGCACCCCCTTGCGCCCCCGGCCCCTGGTCGTGGCACTGGCAGCGTCACTCGCTGGAGTTTGACTCTCCGGCGGCGGCGGCAGTGGCGGCGCGGAGCCGCGGGCGGCGGGAGCGAGGCG